GTTGAGGAGGCTCCTGCACCAGTAGAACCTGATGTTGCCACAGCTTTAGTTGATGAACCCGTCACCACCACAGCTGTGGAGGAAGCAGTGGCCGTTCCCGCTGCAGAAGTCGCCAGCCCTGTGGTGGAAGAAGCAGCTGCAGCCCCTGTGGAGACTCGGGCAGAAGTTCCCAAAAGAGAGTACATTGTCGTTGTTCTAGAAGGAACTCCTAAAGAAGAGAAGAGCCCCAAGGTTCTGGGTGTGGGGCCCATGACTGGTAGAATCATCCCTGCCCCGGACGAAGATGATGCCCCAGCTTCTGAGGTATCGGCTAACAGTTTTGTCTGACTGATCTCTCGGGTTGATTCCATGTACAGACGTGACAAGAACATAATTATCTGCAGTCATCCATTTTTAATTATCAGTGTTTTAGTTGAACTAGATATCTAATGCAATGTTTGCTTTGGTTAATCAGTGTGGGCTGCGTATAAGAATCACTCTAATGTGGCTTTTTAAACTCTGCTACTCAGGGTAGACGCCGTCTTCTTAGGATGCAAATGCAGTAGTTTCAACAAAGGTACTGAGCCTTCATTTATTTTGAACGTGGTAGAGCAGGCTGTGGACATGATGTACTTGTGATTTAAACTGAACATTCCTGCCCATCATGTCCACATTCCATCACTTTAGGCTCAAATATGAGCAGGGGAAGTAGAAAACTACCGTATGTATGTATTCAGGATGTGCAGTACTGTTGACACTGACTTCTCTGTTTTATTTTCCTCCGTGACAGTAAACGGCTCCTGAATGATGACTTTCCATCCTATGGAAGAAGAGGATGTGCCTTTCTCCAAGCTTTCCCTTCCTCCTTTAACCCTGAAACTCTACGAGACTAATGTGTAGTTCCGTTGTCATATAACACACAATGCTTAGATCGATGCCTGCGTCATGGAGCCATCACCCCAACGTGATGGTAGTTGCCCATCACTACAACGCTTCACTCTGGCTTTACAGTTCCGGGTGAGCTCGGCCACTAGTTGCACAGATCTTCTGGTTTATCTGTTACAAACCTCAACTACACTTCATTGGACCTCCTGTGAATTGCAGCCTGTTTACAGCTGTGAACAAAACTGAGCCATTCAGTCAACCTTTTTTCCTACTGTTACAGTTTACAGCCTCAAAAAGCACTCCAGTAAAAGATGTTGACACAAAGCACCGTGTCTTGTCAACCTAATCACTGCTCAGCCGCTACGGCGTTACGTCTTCAAGCACAGCATGTTTCACGTCACCAGCGTTCTGTACAGCGCCCGACCTCAGGTTGTTCTTGTCTTGTTTTTCTCCTGCTTCTCCTGTTGTATAAATGAGCAGCAGAAAACACTCGCTGTAGTTGATCATTTTGAAGAAGAAACACTTTGAGCATGCTGGCTTCACAGCCCATGTAGCTACCTCAGTTTTCACATTGTTTCAAGCCAACAACACAGTTGTTCAGCCAAAAACTTAAATTACATTTCAAAAGCTGTTACGTGAACACCAAACAACTAATCCTGTTAATCTAAATAGGGCAGATATGTTCTGATTTCCACACAGTATTCTTTCCTAAACGGTGATTTAACACACATTGAATGAAGACTTTGCTGCTCACTAAGTTAAAACTTTCTGGTGTTAGTAATGTCACAGCAGGTCATCTGTCTTTAAAAGTTGTTGTAAAAACATCAGTTTTGACATCATTGACTGACGTGTGGCCAGAAATGAAACTTGATTCAAGGTTTGGGCCTGTTACAGTGCAACACTGTGGAGGTTTTCTTCTCCATGCTCAGCGCTCAGTCACCTCTTTAGGTGACTTCTTACTTTTTGTCGACACTCTAGTGAAAATGTGGTGATTGTAAAGGAACCTCTTCCTGATATTAAGTTGCAGCTACATTTTCACAGTCTAGATTTAGATTTGTCAAAGTTGAAATTCCCTTCCTGCATCCTCTTTATCCACCTCTCCTCCATAGCCACTCATACAGAGGTAAGAAGAGAACCAGTAGGCGATACTGGGTTTTATCCACATAGGTGGTTAATGTAATTTCCTTTTTTTTTTTTTAAATGTACATTTAAACATAGCTCAGTGTGACGGTTCAGTGAGGAGAAAGTTGCCAGTAAGCTGTGTAAGGAAATGAATAGGCAGCTTGACGTTCTCTCACTCTTTGCTCGTCTGTCTTTTCAAGTTTTTCTTGTTTGGTTTTAGCAGTCACACGTGCATGGATGTGTAGTCTAAAGGCCTGAAGCAAGTACAAGCCGATGTGATACTGATGTGTTGGTGTGCCATGAAATACTGTGTGTTTGGGAAGTGTGAAGCGGTACGTCTGAAGAAAAGTCTCCAGTGTGAAATGCTTCGACAGCTCCTCTGTAGCTCTTGTCCTCGATTCTCTCCTTCAAATTTTCACATCTCTACTATTGAATTTTCTGGATTTGTTAGTTTGGTGGACAATATGTGGAACAGACTTGGGATCACTGAGGAAAGTGAGTGTTAGTACACATATATATATATAAAGCTTTCCTCGGTGCTCATCGGCAGGTTTCTGTATCGGCTCGTGAGCGGATGACTTGGACAAAGGGCAGAAACTGTGAGACATTTCTGTTTTTCCATGTTTTGCAAAATAAAGAGGGATTAAAACAAACATTTTTTCTGTCCCATTGTCATTTTTTTAACCCACTTTATCTACTAACTTGTTGTATAACTTAGCCGAGGTTAACATTATAGCCTGTGTTTGTTACTGCTGCAATAAAGTCACAAAAGAAAACGTAAAGTCATCGAGATGATGTTAAGGATTTGGAGTAAGGAAGCGGCTGAGGTGATAAGATCTGGTGGTGAACACAGTTTGTGATGATCAGTTCTTATGATGTGGAGTAAAGAAAATACTGATGGTTTTGTACCCACTGTCTCCCTCTTCATCACAAAGGCCACAAGTCCTGACAGCAGCAAATATCGTGGTGAGACTACAACCTCTGAAAGCAGCAATATACAAAAATAACTCTGATTTCATCAGCCATAAAACAGCCTTCCTCTGTTGCAGGTCTTTGCTGCTGCTGCTGCCCTGTCTGCCTGAAAGCTTTAGCTTATTTTTAAACAGCTTCTGAGCGATGGTTTCAATGCCGCATGAGCACTTTATGATTGATTATGAACTCTTTCAGTGCACTGTTTCTCCTCTCACTTAAAGACAAAATGGAGTATTTTACCTTGCTGACATGTCTATGTTGGGTTTTCTTATATGCTTGAAGATGCATCAAAAGCAAAACAGGCAGTAAACACCATGGCTGAGCATTTCCACCTGAAAACCGCACCAAAGACTCAAATGTCTCAAAAACTCAAATTCAGATTTCCAGGGTTTCATACGGAACAAACCCGAGGAACTGATCCTGTCGGCATGCGGGGTGGGGCTTTCTGCATCATTCCTCTTCTTCAGAATTAGTTTCTGGTTCCAACGTGCATGGCTGCAGTGCTCCAGGATTACAAGCTGCCACTGAGCAGCGTCGAGCAGTCGTACAGTGTTTGAAGCGAAGCTGAAAGTGAGCCGGTGTGTTCGAGCTGCAGTGAGTGTGGAGAGAGAGGAGGAGACTTCATAGAGCTGCACATTCTACAGTGTAGAGTTACATCTGAGCTATTTTAAGGCCTGATGGAGTTGTTTTCATAGAAAAAACAAAAAATCTTGAAAATATGTAACTGCCATACAGATCATGGCTTTTAGGGGTTCAATCAGTGAGAGGGTTTTAACGTTTTATAGAAATACTTAAAGGGCCCTTGTGGACTTTTTGGCTTCTGTTGGAGCTACAGAGCTGATCTTTTATACCCGGATCTTCATTCTGATTATTTTGTGCGTATGAATGTTTGGGAGATTTTGATATTAAGCAGAACTCAATCAGAATAGTGCCGTCCTTGGGTCTTTATTGAACAAACTTGCACAAGTGGGCCTAGTCAACCGTCAAAGTTCCTGACTGAGCATAGTGCCTTTTCTTATTGTCCTTTCTTGAAGCCCCTGTCAAGAGAGGACGATGATTCTTACATGCACACTTGCCACAGTTGGCTATGCGTTGATGTGTTTGGTCATGTGGTTTCCTGCCTGGAACTCGGTTCTTCTAACAGTCGGGCCTTTTTTGTCTCATGGAGGAACATCTGTTTAGACAGTAAAAGGTCCAGCAGAGTGTTGTACAAGTACATGTCTATTTATGTTGTCATGTACAGCAGGTACCAGTCTTCTTATTCAGTTTTATTTTATTTGATTGTTTATTTTATTATATTTAGTTATTTACTTTATTTTATTTGGTTGCTTAATTTATTTTATTTTTGATTATTTTATTCTATTTGATTGTTTATTTTATTTTGTTTTTTAAAACTTTATTTTAGTGTTGTTTTATTTTATTTTTGTTTATTTTATTTGGCTAGTTATTTTATTTCATTTTTGTTTATTTCATTTTATTTGGTTGTTTATTTTATATGGTTGCTTGTTTTATGTTGTTTTCTGATTTACTTTATTTTAGTGTTGTTTATTTTATTTTATCTTTGTTTTTTTTATTTTATTTTATGTAGTTGTTTATGTTAGTGTTGTTTCTATCATTTCCTTTCATTTAGACTCCAGCCCCTGCGACCCTCATGAGGATTAAGCGGTATATAGATAGTGGATGGATGGATTATAATCATAAAACTGTTTTATTCTGTGATTGTGTTATTTGTCGTACTTTAATGTGTCTGTTGTGTGCTTTGTTCGTAACATTTTTGAAGCTGTCAGATAAATGTGGCTAATGAGCACGGCTGAGTCGCAGAAGTGCAAAGCTGCATCTCCTTAAACCAAGATTATCTGCATTGCAAGAAAATGTAGTTTATAGTTTGGTTGAACCGACCTGTGAATGTGTCTCCCCTTACTGTCGTTCTCTTTTCCTGATGATGTCCAGGGGAGTCCAAAGTCAAAGTGAAGCAACAGTGACCGTGTCAAGTGTCATTCTGAATGAATGAGTGTTCCAGAATCGATCATTCACTCTGTTTCTATGAGAAGCTCAATAACAAGTACATCAGGAAAAACAGACAGATGTCTCCATGTCCTAAAACCGTTTGTTATGGCCTGAAAATAATAAACTTACCAGTTCCCACAAGCTGTCAACATGGACTGATTACACTGTTGGGACAAAGATGGACATCTACTGCCCGTCTTCCTGCATACTTTTGGTGTATTATGTACAAAATCCCGCTAGACCACCTGAAGGCAGATTTGTAACTAAATTATGACGCATGAACCTTTAAGATGTGGCCTCCAAAGGGAATTTTGAATTAAAAAGCCTCTAACTTTAGAAGATACCCACTTGGTTTGATTAAACCAGGTGCTGTACTTTCCTTGCCCTCCAGTATGTGAAGGTCCACATGATGTTAAATTTGTCATTTCTCCAAGTCTGCGAAGTCCGGACTGGATAAGTAACATAAAGCCTGAACAGCTTTAGAATACTTTATGTTGATAGAGTTCATCGAGCACAGTTAGAGCTGAACATGTTCATATTATAAAATACTGGAACATGTCTAGTAGTTACTTTATGAAGCTTTATGCGAGATATAAAGAGTAAATTATAAATTTCTTGTCATGTATACATCTATTTATTTTGACCAGTTCGTTTATGGGATGTTCATCAGAACAGCTGTTCAAAAAAAAAACCCAAACCTATAGCAACTATAGGTTCACAGACAGCTGTGAACATCAGCTGATGCTTTGCTCCATACATGCGCAGGAGGTCGTATCTACGTGTTTTGTGCTAAATAACAACAACTATGTGTCCATGTCTGTGTGCACCTCTGCTCTGGGGTGAAATCAACGTTTAAGGCTGCTGTTACACTTTCTTCGTCCCCGGTTATCTGAACCTAAATTACGTAATCTTACCAAGGAGGACCGCTGTAATGACGTCAGCGTGCGGCCCAAAAACGTGTGACCTTCTTGCCACTGTGCTGCCAAGGTAACCGTGTGCACGCTCGAGCTGTGGTGCGCATGTGCGGAATAGATGCACGCATGCAACAGAGCCGATGACTGTGAGCTCGTGGCTGCAATCATGACTATAGTCAGGCCCAAACTTTTGCATTAATTTTTAAACAAACAAACAAACAAACAAACACTGTCTATTTTCTTTTACACTGAAACCACAGTGGAATCGTTGAATATCACGAAAGAAGAAGAGAAAAGATTACTGCAGTCATTACCTGTTTCATTGTACACAGGGGCAACTGACGTGGAATTAAAAAGGGTGAATTTGCCCAGTTATAAAAATACAGTTATTTTACACCAGCCTCAACAGTCATGCATTTAGATGATCATATTTTCTATGCATCGCCTTTTCCCCGTTGATTCGTGTGACAGTAGTTTCATACATGTTTACATGTTACGTCAGAGTGCACCGTTTGTCTCGCCGTCAATGGCGCTCGTCGCGGTGACGTCATGACGCTCCCCGCTTCGACCCGCTGCTTCTGTCGTAGCGAAGAGGCGGCGCGCCGGAAAGCTACAGGATAGCAAGAAAAGAGCAGGAATCAAAACACGACTTCGGGGCCCGTGTCCGCCTTCACTCTCTACATTTCAACGCAGGTCGTCGATAGGTGTCTGTGGAGTGATTCCCGAGAAACAGAGGCCCTGCAAACACCCTTTTTAACGCGCGAAGTAACCGTTTTGGCCTTGTCAACTTGGCTAACGTTAGGCCCTGCTAGCACTAGCCGTGGAGCTTACTTTTCGCTAGCAAAAAAGCAAAACAAGGTAGGAGGAAGGAAACTCATTGCATCAACACATCAGTAGGCTCTGATAGCTCACAACTTCCAGTACAGGTGTCGCATTTGCTTTATTAGCCGGCCAGAGAAAGTGTACGGTGTTCAAGTTTACATTAAAGACGATTTGTATGTTAGCTAGCTGTCAGCTAACTGTCTCCAGCTCAATAACTAACCTTAATGCTAGCCATTGCTAAGTTAGTAGATTGAGGGTGAGATCCCTTTTTTACAATGCTGTGTTAATTTATATTATGGCACTGAATATGGGATATGCACTATATAAAGAGCGATATCAGCTGAGTTGGCTGGTAGCTAAGTTGAATTTGTTGAGTAAATAGCAGAGGCATGAGCTAACTAGTTAGCTGCAGAGTTTGAAGCTGCAGGGAAAGACTCGGTGAGCGCATATAGGTGCCAACCCGCTCAGAAAGTAAACACTAGCTTGTATGCTGACAATGATCATGTGTCTGTGATCTCCTCAGGCCGACCAGCACTGTCTGATTTCATAGACAACACCGATATTTTTTACATTATGAATTACTCGGTGCTGGCATTTAGCCAACGGTACGGGCTTCTTGTTTGCATCCACTGAGCTGCATGTACTCAGGAAACTTAGCTTGTTTACAGTAAACGATCAACTGTCAATAAATAAACCAATAATCAAGTCAAAAATATCAGTTCAGTTGTGCTTTTTAAATTGCGATGTAAGAACAATCTAAGGGCAAACCTGTGCTCTAGCCAGGTGCTCCACTTCAATACAAACTTTGACAGTATTTAATGTCATATGTTCAGACTTGGAGCCATTGTGCTGCAGGATATTACACATGGCTGTCGTGAACAGTTTGATGCAGCTTCATAAGTGAATATGGAATGTAATGTTCGATGAGCTAGACCTGGTAGACAGGTGCATTGGAGGATCTGCAGAAATATAAAGAAATACTGTGGATTCCCACACTCTTGAAGTTCCACGGGAAGCTATGAAACTGCAGCATCTTTATAAAGTCTTTTTAAAAAAGTTGTAAGCAATTATTGTTTACATTTTTGTCTCAGGAGTTTGTGATTTAACTCCTTTGTTGCCGAGCCTGTGCTCTTGTATGAAATGCTGGTGTTTGTGACCAGTCACTTGCACTTTCACTTTCATAATTTTAGTGACAGCGTGATTGAAGTCAAAGGCCTGTTGTTGGACCACATATAAACTGATTTTAGCATTTACAAAAATGTTTTTTGTTTGTTTGTTTGTTTGTTTTTTAAAAAATATGACGTGATGTTATTTCCCTGCAACAAAGATCACAACATTCCTCTGACTGAGTCATGAGGAGAGTGGACGCCCGTGGGGCTTTCACATGACCCCTCCCCCTGCACACATACAAACAGACTTTAAACTTGTAAATAAACAAGATCACATAAGATGCATAGATCTGTAGTTTCTGATGTGTTAGCGCTGCCTTCTCCATCCTAACGCCCCTGTGTGTGCTCTTATTTTGGTAGGAATGAGTGATGACCTCTGTGGTAGTGTCAGACGGTGGAGGGAACATAGTGGAATATGTCACTGTAGTGGAGGAGCCGCAGCAGGTAAGCTTGTGTGTCACCACAACTGCTGTTAGGACAGTCAGCAAAAATCCCATGTTGTCAAAATGACTTAAGAGGCTGTGCTGATGGTTGTACGGCCAGTTGGAGGAGAACAGAGTGCAGTGAATTCAGCTCTGAGTGCTGTTTTCATCAGTAATGCAGGAGGGCTGCTTAACACATGAATGTGCTTACTGGTACTGTGCAAAAGTTTTCATGTTGTATAATCATTGGTGGGGCAAAACTAAGCTGCTTATAGAGGCTGTAGATATATATACAGTAAACTGTTTTCAAAGAATCAACCTGTTCGTTAAACTTTGCTGTGTTTTCCATAAGCGATGCGCTGCAGTGTTGGTTTTGCCACCGGATTTTGATTTACTTTAAGTTTGAGCCTCAACACAAACTGAAAACATTTTAGAGTATTGTCCATCAGTGATGTTTCTGTGTCATGTTTGTTTTATACCATCCAAACACCAACAGACAGACTCCTCTCAGCAAATCCAGTTACGTGATTGTTTCCAAACTCTGAGCTGCTCCGTCTCTCTCTAGCATCGGCATGAACATTACTACTTGCTCGTTCCAGTGAAGAGCAGCAGGAGTTTAGCTTGAGAAGAGACGCTGAATGGTTTGAAAACATTGCAGTTATCTGAAATAATTTCTTTACAGAACATCGAGAAGACAATTTACAATTCTACAATTTTATTTAGCAGACGCTTAGATGTCGTCATTAACTCTGAAAACTTACTCGTTCTTTATTCTCAGTATCGTGAAAGCTATCTGACTGAAAGTAATCTTCATGTTACACCTACATCATCTGTATGACATCTGCAGTCAGATCAACAGTTAGTTGTACAGGTCAGCTGCTGCCTGCATGCTCACAGTTCGACCCAGCTGCTTTGTTGCTGCTTGTTACTGCAATTTGTAAATGAGCTTAAGTCATAAACTCTTTTCTTTCAAGAACTGCCAGATAACGTTATTGCCTGACATGTTAATTACTGAATGTCAAGTGCTTATTAATTACCAGCAGTGCAACAGGTCAAACTGATAAATCCCCTGAACAGCAAGAGTTCTGAGCAGTGTGTGCTTCCACAGATGCTGCATCTCACTGAGAAACAGTTTTAGTGAATTTGTGATTCGTCCATTTGTCCTTTCATCCTGCTTGAACATTTTTCTTTGGTTTTATTTGCTGACAAAAGAAGTAAAATCTAATCATCAGAGTTTTTGTCCTGAAATGCTGCTTTATTTAGTTTTAGTTTTACACATATGTTTTTGTCATTGCTATTCTTATTGAATTGAACACTGAAAACTACTGTTTTGGTTTTGGGTTCAAAACCGTTTCAGAGTCATGTTCAAGTACAACTTTGGTACAGCACCTTTACAAAATATGCAAAAAAAAAAAAAAAGCAGAAATTCAAACACAACAGTGTCTCATTGCCCGTTAATCTTCCTGGCACACAAAAGCTGCCATACTGTCAATAAGAAAAATGATAACTATACAAACACAGCGGTGTAGGGCTCTGAACAGGAGTGATGCTGCAGCCGCCACTGTTGTGTAGCTCTCTGTAGCGCTGGAAGGCTGGTGATGAAGGCAACTGCCAGGGCAGTTGATTCCTGAACAAGTGCCGCTTGTACTCAGGGCAGGCACAGCAGACTGAAATGTATATGTGGAAGCACACTGGTGGGGCTGCAGCACTTCAACACGTGCTTAAATGCTTTATTTTCTACAGCCAAATATGGGTGCATATCTTTAGTTACTGCTTTAGCACAGTCTTTATCTGTTGGAAGAGCTTCTTGAACGTTGTGCAGAGAACGTGCTTTCCAGTCTGTTTTACAAATTGTCACATTCAGATGATGTCCTCATAAATGACTTAGAATTTTTGAAGGATTCGAACATCGCGCTACTTCAGCTCAACCAGCGGCAGCAGTCGGCACAGTACATGAGCTTTGCTAGCGTGGCTAACCTTACTCGCATGACCCATGGGCAGGAGGAACTCAGTGCTGTAGAATTTCCATTGTGGAAGTTTTAAGATGTAGATGTAAATGTGCTTTTTCTCACAGTAACTGTTTGGCACACAGGATTTTGGAATTTGTACTCCTACTGTCCAAAAAATTAATAGATAACAGCTTTCATATTTACGTGACTGTTGGTAGCAGTGTGTGTGTCATAGTATCAGCAATACTCCAAAGCCGCCTGTGAGGCACTTTTCCTGCTGAAGCTGGACAATCAGTGTGTTATTTTGGTCAATACTGATATTTACACATAGATTTTTCACATAATCGCAAAATTAAAATGGTTATGCCTGCCCCAAGTTGCAAAACAAGTAAATAAATGAAACCATGTCCACCTGTGTAACAGGGACACACTGTTGAGCGCATTAGACATCGTATCTGCCTGTCAGTGTTAGTTTGGGGCACGTTTCAAGGTGTCGTACAACACGGGCCTAATTTTTTACAGTCTTGTATGTCATCTCTATTAATAATAATAACATATAATAGGACACTAAAAATACAAAAACTGTAATTTTCCTCCCATCTTTCTAAACTGTGGCCACCATGAGCAGCAGCCCACTGAGGAGGAAGAGGAGGAAGAAGTGGTCCAGCAGGAGGTAGAGGCAGTGATCGTGGAGGAAGATGTGGAGGAAGAGGAGGGAGTGGTGCTGCAGGAGGAGGGCTGTCCAGCTGTAATCGTGGAGGAGGTGCCCAGTGCCCAGGTGGAGGAGTGCTACTCTGCCCAGGTCCTGGTCTACGATGACGAGACGTACCTGATGCAGGACGTGGCTGAGGAGCAGGAGGTGGTCACGGAGGTGGCTGAAACCGGTGAGTCCTGAGTGTGAAACCAACCTCGGGAACAGTGGATGGATTTATGGGTCATTGCGGTTATTTTGTAAAATGGAATGGGAAGGTTGGATTCACCCCTTCCACCCTGTTTTTTCAATCTAACACAATGGCTAAAAAAAACACACGAGGGGACCACAGATCTGCAGTGAAGTGCTTGTGTGTTCTCTTTCATGCTTCTAATTTACAATAATTACGGTAATGTTTTTATTGTACCGCTATCAGTCTCAATGCAGCAGCTCCTTTCTGACGGGATATCTGTGCAATAGAGCTCTAAAACTTTAACCATCGTACTTTTAAATGTCATTGAACCAGTGCATTTGGTCTGAATGAAGGAGACACGCAAATAATGGGTTTATTCTCGTGTTTGACTCTGAAATCCTGAAGCACATATTTTGTGTCACTCTCTTAATCCTCACCAGAAGGAAACGCTCTTTGAATTTGAGCTGCTGTTGTTGACGCAGACTGCCCTCTGCTGGCAGGAACAGTGTCCAACTGTTTGGGCCATATTACCGGAAACAGGAAGGGAGGAACAGACTGCCTCTACACACTTCAAAACAAGGAAATCAACATTTCAAAATAGTTGAAGTAGTAGCACCACAGCTGTAGCTCCATGTAGCCTTCTCTCACCACAAACGGGATCTTTTTGTAGTTTTTTTTTTTTTGATGTGACGGGTCTGGTCTGATGGTTCCTCTTCAGTGAGCACACAGTGTTTGTAGAGGTGTGCCTGCTGACAGCGTTTTTCTTTCTTTCTTCTGCTCCTTCTCTCAGTGGAGATGTCGGGTCATGACATGGTGTGTTTTGACAAAACGTTTGAAGCAGCTGAGGCTCTTCTCCACATGGAGTCTCCAGGAGGACTACACAGTGAGCGCAGCACAGGTAAACACACTGACTACACCGAGTCCCAGGAGTCACTCAGAGTGTCTGTTCCTCTTGCTAACTGGTCATATTGGTCGGAGGCGTGCCATTACTTACCAGTGCATCTTTATTCCTCTTTAAAGATAAAAAATACTAAGAATAGATTGAAGTTATTGAAGTGACTTAAACATTGTGATTAAATAATTCAATTTTAGTTAAATATATGTTTTTATTTTTATTATTTAATTAGGATCTTAGGAGCTCCAACATTTGCAAACCGTCTAGTGTCGTTTTTCTCATAACCTTCTTTCATTAACACTAAAGTTTGCCGTTTTGGTACAAGAATAAGAGCGTCACTTTCCTTCCAGCTTGGCTTGAATAGAAAGTTGCCCTTAAGTCTCCCGACACATTTGAAACTTCATCATCATCCTTTGGTCCACAGACATTAGACTTCAGACGGAGGCTCAGGTGCTTCCTTCAAAATGTACTTGTGCATTTGTTAATTGGCAACCCTCACCCTTCACTCCAGAACATACACCAAGCTCTGTTTTCTACTAAAAACATTTAACGAGTGATGTTGTTTAGTGAATTCATTTCTGGAGAGCTGGAATATAGGACTCCTCTTTCTGTTTAGTGAGTGAAGAGTTGATTCAGAATCAACCCACAGCAACAAGGAGTGGTTGAAATTACCCTAAAGATTCTCTGGGCATGTGTCTAGCTGTTGTCTTGTCCAGCGTTGGTATTTAACAATCACTCTGGACATGCTGCAGCTACACAGTAAAGCAATGTCAGTGCAAAGGACAATTTCAGGGTCCTTGTGAAATTCTCAGCTTATGATGGAGCAGAAAGTTAATGGAGTGAATGTTGTGTTTGGTCTGACTCCAGCAGAGGATGTGATGATGGAGACGGTGGTGGAGGTGTCCACAGAGTGTGGACCCATAGAGGAGGAGTCCTTTCCCATCCCTCCTGATTGTGAACCTGCGGCCAAGAAGAAGAGAGGAGGTAGTGTCCTCACAATACATGTTGTGTTTACAGCGGGTTGCTTAAATTCGTGCTCAGGTTTTCCATCCTACAGCCATACAAGGTTTGAGTTATCGTAGGTTTGCTCTAAAACAGTCCTGAACTCACTGTATTAAAGCTTTCAGACAGTGGTGTGAACAGTAGAGATGGGTATCATTATGATTTTAATAAGCATAAAACATTGTGCAGTGTGTCTCCTTAAGCTGTCCAGCATCATATCAGAATTACAGCCGTACCTTGAACAGATATCAGGTAAATGTTAGGACACTGCACTGATTAAAACCTGTGTCACTTTTGAGTTTAAGTGTCGAGACTTGGAGTGTCAGGTTTTTACTGTGTGCTATGAAAGGCTGAGTGAAGACGGCAGTTAAAGTACTTGTTCTACCACCACAAGCAACATTCAGTCAGAGAAAGTGAAATAAAGTCAGTTTGTCACGAGATCCTGCTGCTCTGTGCTCTGAAAGTGAAACTAAAATTATGAGCGACAGTTCACACGATACTCGCTTTACGATGTCAGACGTATGTTACAGCTGCTGAATGCTTACTTTTATTTAGTGGCCTATGTTCATATGGTTTAGTTAGCGCTTTGTTTGGGCTGCTTGCTGACAAAACACATTTGGTTAGCGATGAGCTCAGCAGTCAAACATTTCTCCGTCCGTACGTGACGAACTTTCACTGGAAGCTCGTCACGGGTTCAGATTGCGGGTGTTTCTGCTCTGACATGCAAACAAACGTTTTCTGGATCAACTGTAGTCAAGTGCAGTCGTTGGTCACCTGTTTGTGTGCTGCACGGGGCTGTGGATTTAGAAAGCGAAAGTGCATCACAGACACAGACACATCAGACACGTCTTCCAGTGATGAGATGAAATGTGTTCTTACTTTCTAAAGTATCATTAACGTTGGAGCTCATCAATCCTCTGATATTTAGAAATTCATCGGGGGTTCGTCGTGTGTGTGTGTGTGTGTGTGTGTGTGTTGAGTGCAGGTGGACGTAAGCCCAAGACACACCAACCTGCTTCCAATGGCTCCTTCGATCTGGGGATCAAGAAGAGGCCGAGGGAGGGAAAGGGTTTGTAACCGCTCTCTCTCTTTGAAGTCTGGGCAAATATCACAAGTTTGTACCTGCTCCAATTCACAGCTACGCTAGATGCTACATGAGCAGGACACGTACCAGTTGTTTCTGTTTTTTTGTTCATAAAAGTGGGTGTACGTCATGCATCATCCGACTTGCTCATATAATGAAAGTGTATCCACATTTAGATTTGGACTGTTCTTTGTGAGCAAATCAGTGACAAGAGACAAGTGTCCCACTAACTGTGAGCTACTGTGTGGTTCTCAGACATCTTTGTTCTCTTTGCCCCTGAGCATCAGTGTTATCAGCACATCACCATGAAGATACTTACGTCATCCACAGTGTCAGGGTTTAATGCTGTTGTGTCCTTCAGGTAACACCACCTATTTGTGGGAGTTCCTGCTGGAACTGCTGCAGGATAAAAACACCTGTCCCAGATACATTAAATGGATGCAGAGAGAAAAGGGCATCTTCAAACTGGTGGACTCCAAGGCTGTGTCCAAACTGTGGGGTAAACACAAGAACAAGCCCGATATGAACTACGAGACCATGGGCCGAGCCCTGAGGTGAGCCTGTCCTCTCCACCTGATAGTTGTGAGCTCAGTCTGTCTGTGTTTGTAAGCTTTACCAGGATAATATTATGCAATAAAGTTAATTTATGCAATTAAAGTTAAGAAAAAAAAAAAAAAGAAGATAAAAAATCAAAGTTATGACATTAAAAAGTGAAAATATGAGATGGAAAGTTAAAATTCTTGTGATAACTCAGCTTGTCTGTTCTTTGTGTGCGTAGGTATTACTACCAGCGCGGCATCCTTGCGAAAGTAGAGGGTCAACGGTTGGCCTACCAGTTCAAAGACATGCCCAAAAACATCCGCGTGATCGATGACGATGAAGAGGGCGAGGAGGTGGAGGACAGCGAGGGCATGGTGTCCAGCCAGCACCTGGCTCACCAGCAGGGCCCCACAAGCCTTGGCACCAACTCCCCTGCTGCAGCCCAGCCTCAGCAGACTTACGTCACTGTCATCCCCAGCAACGCTGCCACCAGGTCTGAGAAGCCTGTTCTCATTTGGTGTTCATATATCTAATAGAACTTGTTTGCCATGTTCCCTTAAACAAGGCACTGCTCATCCTGGCTAACAGCTAAAATAATAATGTTGCTGACTTGATTCTACGTTTGACGTAGTAAAAACACCGAACAAAGAAAAATGAAAACATTATTAAAGGGGCCGATCTAGATATTCTTTTTTTCAGGGCCAGATATTCGTAATAAAAGAGACCAGGAACAGATATTTCAAACGATGTATAATGGAAATAGTGGTGTTAAAATTTAGAGTACTCCAAACTGCTCCAAAAAGTGGTTAAAAACGCTTTTCAACATGTATTGTTCAGTGATATGATATTACTTGTAATGTGTAACCAACATTGCTCAAGACCGCAGAGTGACTGCAAAGCCTCAGTGGTTAGTGGCCACTGGACAGCTGAGCCAGACTCTGACATATAGGTGCTATTCTAAACTAAATTACACATATAGATAGCAGCAGCTGAACCTCAGCTAAGGGAATTACAGTTATTTAAGTAAACAGCAACCAAAAACAATAAATAGCACTTCAGTGAGATGGCGTGATAAAGATGTATTTGCAGTTGAACGCTTTGAGGTATGCTCTTTGCATAAAGGTGCAGCACTTGATGTTGCAGTGAAAAATGAGTCCACAGTGAGGAAAACAATTAGACAGGAGTGAAAAAATAAAAATGAAATGCACAGATATTACATAAATTAAGATGATTAATGAGTGGTAGTGTTTTGTTTGGAGCTTAATGATTTGTTTAATCCATTAATCATCGTGTCAAATATTGGCTGGTTTCAGCTTCTCAGATGAGAAGACGTTGTTGCTCTCACTTCAATAAGCTGCATGTTGTTGATGGTTTTAAAAAATCAAAGGCATTTAAAAACACAAACAGCTGAGCTGCTGGAAAAGTCTAACAGGCTTTGTCCATATTTTCTGAAATTTATGGACAAACCATTCAGTAGAGTGAGAGCATAGCAGCAGATTGTTAGCATTAGCCCTAACAGACAGTGTTATGAACATGGCACGTTGTTGGCAGGTAGTCATGGTGTAAGCAGGATAACACACTTCACTGATGACCATACAGCATGTCCAATATTGTCCCTGACACAATGTTTTTTTCCTTGTGTTTTGTCCTGCAGGCCAATCCGAGCCATGCCAGTAGTCATGACCAACTCCCTAGGTCAGATGACATTAAACTCCTCCTCCATCCTCACCACCACAGGCGTCCCAGTTACGGTAGCTAACGCCTCCGCCAGCGCTCCCCCCAAACTGGTGATCCAGGCTCTGCCCACTGTGCTGCCTGCCGGCTCCAAAGGAGAGAAGATCACCATCATCACCATCCCAGCCAACCAGCTAGCCACACTCATGCAGGCCAACACGTCAGGCCAGGTCACACAGCTCATCCAGGCGAAACCCGTCGCTACACAGCTAGCGCAGGCTGCCGTGAAACAGGCCACCGCTGCCCCAACGGTGCAGCTAGCGGCGGGCCGGTCGGCGCCGCAGCTCATCCTGGCCAAACCAGCTGCGGTGGCCCAGCCGCTGCCGCAGCTCTCTGTCCAGGTGAGCCAGCCTCACTCCACCCCTCCCAAAACCCCCACCCAGCCCCTGAAGCCCTTCAACAGCCAGCCTGAAGCAGCACAATCAGAGGCGGCAGCAGACGCCCCGCCCCCCTCAAGTCCACCAGCAGCATCAGCAGAAACCCCGTCGTCCTGAGAGCCTTGCCCCAAGCTGGGGCCGTCGAGGGGGGAGGGGGGGGACAGGAAGTGACTGTGGACACTGCTGAGGAAGTGCAGGAAACATACCACACCTCCTCCCCACCTCAGAGCAGAGCCAACTCCTGATTGGCTCAGACTGTCAGCCTGACGTTGGTCTACTCTCACGATGGAGCTGCTGAGGCCCCACAGAGGATCAAAGGGACTGCTGTCCACACACACACACACACACACACACACACACACACAAATAGAACACACATAAACCACACACACAGATCAGAGCTCAAAAGACATGGGCTGCCTTAGATTGTAAATGAAAAAAAAAGAAGTCCTTTTGTAATCAAGCCTAATATAAAAAGCCTGACAAGACTTTGTTGTAAACAGAAGTGTAAAAAGCATTTTTTGATACTCAGCGGGTATGTATCAGTACAGATGTAGTATGAATTCCTCTTTGTTTCAGTCTTCAATGGTTTGTCTGCAGAGTTCTGTTACTCCACAGCACTGTCACATTCTCCCACTCTTCTCTTTTTTACTGTTCCTAAAAAGGGAGTGAAAGGATGTCTGCGTCCAGGTAAAACAACTACATGGTGTGCTCCACATTTGAAGTATAATATACTATTTTTTCTTGTACTATCAGTGTATTGAAGTAGATTTTACTGAAATGTGTATTATAAAAAATGACAAATGTGAATTAGAATGGTCTGAACTTGTTTCATTCAGCCATCTGAGTGAGTGACACATTTTCCATGCTTTGTCGAAGGAATGCTGACGTCGGATGAACACGAGGTGAACGCTGTCGCCGGCTTACAGCTCAGAAACATCAACAGATGTGCGGAAAGCTTTTTGTTAAAAACAGCGACTTTGGAAAAATATCTAATTGGGTCATTTGGCAAATCTGAACGCGTCACATTTCAATAGTTTAGTTTGCATAGAAAGCAGGAGACTGCACCAACAGTACTTTGTTCTATGTGGAGAAACTTTCAGGACTTCAGTGAAAGCACGAACAACAGCCTGAGCAGCTCTGAATGCACTGCATGCAGCATACATATGGCGCCTATCATAAGTATTCAACCCTCTTGCAAGTTTTCTCCTTTCATTTAAACATGGCCCGTGTAATTTGACTTTTTTGACAAAAACTTTGGTCTTTCCTGTCAAAGTGAAAGCAGATTTCTACAAAGTAATGCCAACCGACTGTAGAAGTATTCAAAAAAGTGACTCACCTGATATTAAACAGGTGCAGTGATTTGGTGCTAGAAGTCACACATTTACTGATCATCAGAGTGCAGTGACTGTAGGATAAAGACACCGGTATCGGGATGGTCCAGTCACTGGTGAGTCAGGACTCCTAGCTGTAACCACACCGTGAAGACAAGAGAGCACTCAATCAACATTTTAAAGAGGTTTTCTAAAAGCACTAGTTTGGGGGGTGGGGGGTAAGTTATTAACATGGCCCACGAGACAAAGAGACGAGTGAGGTAGGCCACCAAGACACCTATGACTCCTCTGAAGGAGACCTGAGTGGCTAAGATGGAGAGATAGTGCGTACAACAATAGTTCTTAACCCATCAAAGCTTTATGGGAAAATGGCAACGAGAAAGCCACTGTTGAAAGTAGCTCATATTAAATCTTGACTAGAGTTTGTGGGAGATGGAAAGTAAACTGGAAGAAGGTTCTTTGGTCTGATGAAACTAAAACTGGGCATTGTGTCCATCAGACCAGACACTATATTTGGCAGATACTAAACACATCATCCTCACTGTGAAGCACGGTGGTGGCAGCATCATGAAGGAAGTTTTCACTTTGACATGAAGGATTTCTGTCAGAAAACCAAAACTGACCATGATTCAGTGTTGAAAGGAGAAAAGCTTTAGAGGGGGTGAATACTTCCTACAGGTGCTGTGTGTGACTTTCTACAGAAATATACGCCTCACCATGTAATAATTATGGCTCATAATTACGACTAAAGATTGGAGGTGAACTGCTTTAATGTCCTGCATGGTTTGAGACAGCGGGAGATATGAAGTGAGGCACTGATGAAGGTGGTTTTCTACCAAAGTGTTTTGGATGATGTTACATTAAATGTCTGAAGTCTTCATTTGTGTAAACAGCAACTTTAACAAGTGACACCAAATACAATGTAGCCATGGATCCAATGGTTACCCTGAGCTGCAGCTCCAGCCCTGTTTTCTTACTCTATATTTATTTACATATTGGAAAATGAAGCAGAATTTACTATTAAAACTTCAGTTATGCTGTGTACCACTGGATGTACAGAAGACTGTCGCTGAATGACTGATGCCAAGCAAAACATAAAACAAACAGGTAATCTGAAGATTTCTGTTAATTCTTATCATGCAGGTTTATGAGTAAAGAACATCAGAGGGGGCTGCTAGGTGGAGCAGTTGGTTAGCACTGTTGCCTCGCAGCTAGAAGGTCGCCGGTTCGTGTCCCAGTGGGGGCACCAGGAGTCTCCATGTTCTCCCCGTGCAGCGTGGGTTCTCTCCGGGTTCTCCGGCTTCCTCCCACAGTCCAGAAACATGCTGAGGTTAATTGGTGATTGTAAATTGTTCGTAGGTGTGAATGTGAGTGTGCTTGGTTGTCTGTCTCTAAGTGTAGCCCTGTGATAGACTGGTTACCTGTCCAGGTGAACCTGCCTTCACCCTGAGTCAGCTGGGATAGGCTCCGCCCCCCATGACCCTAGTGAGGATTAAGCGGTGTATAGATGATGGATGGATGGAACATCAGAGGTAATGATGTCCTCATTTGACTGAGTTATGACACTGAAACACTTACATCCATCAACTGGGTGTAGCACCACCTTCACTGAAAAACTTTAATACAACCTTATCAAGTTCTTCTCCCCGTTACAGGTGAAAGTAAATCAACATCTGCAAATTCTACTCCCATCTGTCAAGGTTCTGTCACTACTATTTTCATTATTATGAGAGAGGGAGCTGGTGTTGGTTTGGTCTCTTTGCATGCAGCCTGTTTGTCAAAGTGCTACGATGGCTTTCAAATCAAAAATGCTATAAAAAAAAAAAAATCATTCTCTTCATCTTCACACAAAAACCACAGCTGGAATGCAGACAGACATGTTGAAAGCTTCTACCTCATAGGAGAGGACTCAGAGTCTAAGGTACAGTTGGTACCTCACTCAGTTAAACATTTGAAATGAATGGATTTAAACAACAGCTGGTTGTCAGCACCTTCTTCTTTTCCCCACCACACATTGTAACGGCAAAATGGGAGAATCATTTCAAAATCTGGCTGTCATGCTGAAACAAGAGGAGACCGACAAAACTGTTGCAGATGAACTGATAATTAAAAATAATAATTAATCACAGCCCTAGTGTGAAGAGGCATGATCCCAGTCTCTGCTGAAACAAAGGAAACTGTGCAGGAAGTGTAAACGCTGAAAAATCCAACAAGACAGCAAGAAGAGTAAAAATAATCCTTTATTACCATTTATATATTATTGGTATTATATATATTGATAACACTTCTCATGTTTAATGTATTCATTTGCAACAACACCCATAGATTACCAACCTAAAACTGAGATTGATACCTCAATGTAAAATAATTTAGAAGCACTATGGGAAAGGCCTATTTGCATCAGCAGCTCATAGAGAGCAGAAAAAAAACAGTTTCATACAATGAGAGATAACAGTCCTACTAATCAATGACTGCAGTTGGTTTCCAGTGTTCAAACTTCAGCATATGTAGCTCTTAGCTGCCCTTTTAACTGAAGTTCACTTAAAGAAACTAAGTTTATAGTTTAACAGCTCAAAATCACTGAAGACTGTGGAGTCTCAGGTTTGACTCCAAACCTCTACAACCCACAGTGAGATCGAATCCCAGCCGCTCGGCAAAACCAAGTCATGGTTACAGCAGAAGAGATGTGTCTAATGTCACTTCTTTGAAGGTTCCTCAGGGTTAAAATGTCAGCAACAGTATACGATGTGGCGTGTCTGTTTGGGTTCGTGTGTCTCATGACTGCACATTAGATCATTTCTTCAGATTGTGATGAGAAGATCCACATACATGCATGAGAGCCAACACATGAGACCAGACGGTGCTCTGTGCAGCTGAGTCTGCTGCTCCTCAACGATATCTGTTTTCTGCTCTTTTCAAGCGTCACTTCCTCAGCTACCAAAAATGTCAAAACACTATGTGCTGACACACTGATGGATTCATCATTGTTTGTGGAAACTCCGTCTGCTCACTCGTTCTCCTGTTGGTCCAGCGCCTCGGTGGTTGCTGCCTAGATCAGCCTGTGGGGCTCCTCCCTGAAGTTGATGTCACAGAGCAGTGATAAATGGTCAGAGGGGTAGTGGTAGGAGGGGAGGCGGTCTGGGCCGATCTGCTCCTCAGTGGGGATGTCCAGCAGGCTCTCCACACTTAAAGCCTCGTGGGTATACCAGATGTAGTCCAGCGTGCTGCAGCTCTCTCCAGAGGGGCGGATCTTCCAGGTGGTGTAGGCCGGCTCTGTCTGTCCGTCAGAGCTCAACAGCTTGTATGCAGAATTGAGGCCAAGGGGGGAGGAGCGGAAGCGTCGGTAAACGTCCTCAGTGGGCTCAGCGTTAAAGTCCCCACACACGACTAAAGGAACCGAACCTGACGCCGCCTCGCTCTGGCTGCTGCCTCGTGCCGTGATGCTCCGTAGGCTCTGCAGCAGGTCGGCACCCTGCGCGCTCCGCAGCCTCTCCCAGCCGCTACGAGCTTTCAGATGGGTGACGGCCACGCACAGCCACCGGCCCGTGACCCGGCAGTTCAGTGTTTGGACGATTGCTACCTGGTTGGTGGGCAGCATCATGGCCGACAGCCGTAGGTGAGCCGTGTCCTGGAGAGAGAAGCGTGAGCGGCGGTAAAACAGAGCGCAGCCGTCAGGGCCGTTGTTCTGCTCGACATCCAGACAGGGGGACCAGGGTTTGGCCAGGAAGCTGCCCTGGTAACCCAGGCTGCTCATGATTGGGAGGAAAGTGTCATAGTAGTGGTCCACCTCCTGCAGACACAGGATGTCGGGGCGGTAGGTGAGGATCTCCTCCAGGATCAGGTACTTCCGTTCCTCCCAGTTAAGGGCCTCCAGTGGACAGCGAATGAATCCATCCTTCCCCTCACCGAGAGCTGGAAAGACACACATTCAGGCTTTAATTCATTCACCTTCACAACAGAACAACTCCAGCATCTACAGTCATGGTAGCAGCTTATGAGGCTGTACTGAAGAGCAGTGGAGGGCTTTCAACTAAATGCTAATAAGTATGCTAATATGTAACAACTGCTAATTAGCACTAAACATCAAAACAGAGCTGGGGGGTGAGTTTGGTACTGGACTAGAAGAAAATTTGGTTATGCTTTGATTAGTGCTTATGGTGCTGATTGAAAGAATGACAAAGGTTATTACAGTTCACACTGCGAGGAGCGCAAATATCTTGAACCACATTTCATCACAACAAACCCGGTAAATGACATCAGCAAAATTCAGTACAATTCCTCCAAACTAAATTTGATCTCCCCAGAGACACTTTAGTCTGGACCAAAGTGGTGGACAGACAACCAAGCCAACCGTGAAAAGAAATGATTCCCACATTTCTAAATTCCATTGGAGTCATCACATATTCACAACTGTATGTTTATTTATACATCTTTACCTTGTGCGAGTATATTCCACTGCATGACCCGTATGGAGGGGTTGTGCTGATGGTGGCATGGCACCGTCCCGCTAGGATAGACCAGATCCCGGTGAGGCCGGGCTGGACGCCTCTGCAGGGCCTCCTCGCACTCTCTGAGCAGCTGGTCTGGGTCCACCTCGTGGTCCAAGTCCTGGTCTGGGCTCTCCTCAGAGTATGGGTCTGGTTGGGCCAAGGGAGCGCTGTTCAGAGACTGGGCCAAAGTACCGAACAGCCTGCTGCTGCTGCTGCTGCTGCTGCTGCTGCTGCTGCCGCCCATTGGACAAACTGATGGAAAGGACACAAGAGGCAAACGTGTGGTCATTACAGGTGCTTTGAGCTTTGCAATGTTGAGTGCACTGACTCAGAAAGTGTGTTTTAATGCCAAAGAGTTCCCTTTTTCACTCCACAGTGTAAGACTCGAACAGCAGCACCAGGTCTTTGTGGTCTTTCATGAGGCTGACCTCTGTCAGCACAGGCAGCAGCAGGCCTTTACCCTGCAATGCTTACCAGGCAGGAGGATGAATAGCATGAAAACCAGTGAACCCAGAGTGTGAACCTTCACTGCCAACACAAACACATGCCCAAAGTGAGCGCTGCAGACAGGGCAAAGGACTGGTTGCTATTTTTGTTGCTTTGGCCTTTAAAATTGAAGGAACATACTGTTTAAACATTTGTTCAGACCACTCACTGAAGTGCTGACCAACAGACCAAACAGTCCAGAGCATACAGAGACAGGAGAGGACACACTGATACACCCACAAACTCACATTAGCCCTAAACTAGCAGGTAGGTGGCCGCACAGTGTTTATACTGGAAGAACATTGAACAGACACTGCTGTAAATGATTATCTCAGTCAGACATAAACATCCATCCATCATCTATACACTGTTTAACCCTCACTAGGGTCATGGGGGGCTGGAGTCTATCCCAGCTGACTCAGGGTGAAGGCAGGTTCACCTGGACAGGTAACCAGTCTATCACAGGGCTACACTTAGAGACAGACAACCAAGCACACTCACATTCACACCTACGGACAATTTACAATCACCAATTAACCTCAGCATGTTTTTGGACTGTGGGAGGAAGCCGGAGAACCCGGAGAGAACCCACGCTGCACGGGGAGAACATGGAGACTCCACGCAGAAAGATTCCGGTGCCCCCACTGGGACGCGAACCGGCGACCTTCTTGCTGTGAGGCAATGATGCTAACCACTGCTCCACCTTGCAGCCCCAGACATAAACATATAGTTTCTTAATCTATGCTGGTTTATTTTAGTACCAGTTGATCTGTGTTCATTAACTCTGGGTCACGACCAAAAGAATCAGATCACAGATAAAACTGAACAAAACCAGCGAATCGGGTCAGGAGCTCGGACATCCAGAGGGAGCTAGTGTTTAGAGTCGCTGCTCCTTTGCGTCTCCAGAAGCCAGCTGAGGTGGTTTGGGCATCTGATGGGAACTGCCTCAGGATCTGTCATGAGCAACTGGAAAACGCTGCTGGGGAGAGACAAACCTGGAATGACCTGCTTAGCCTGCTGTCACCTCGATCTATACAGGTAGAATTAAGAACACTTCTATATGCTGCGCAGGTCTTTCAGTCGGGTACATTATCCATCATGCCACATCTGTACATGTGAGAAGTGTATTTCTATCCTCATTGTATTTCTTGCTTTGCATCCTAACATACTTCATTTGTACCTAGCTGCAGTAACATGAGAAGTTCCCCAAGTAGAGGATCAGTAAGGATGGATGGATGGATGGATGGATGGATGGACGGATGGATGGATGGATGGATGGATGGATGGATGGACGGATGGATGGATGGATGGACGGATGGATGGATGGATGGACGGATGGATGGATGGATGGATGGATGGATGGATGGATGGATGGATGGATGGATAGGATGATACTCCGCCCTCACCTTTCACCTCCTTGCTGACGCCTGCTTGTCTGCTACACTGCACTTGTCATTGTAAGTAAGCAACTGTGTCTTACCCATCCCCTCCATGTTCGATAAAATGCTTTCTTCCATCTTCTTCATACATCTGAAGGCCAGGACAGTCCACCTCTCTGTCTGTCATTCACTCCTGCTCCCTTGTCTTTCATCCTTTTCCATTAGCTGGATCTCTCTCTCTCTCTCTCTCTCTCCGTCAGTGCCGTGACTCATCCCTTATCCGACTCATCCTTCAGTACGTCTGTCTCATTTGCTCTCTGAATCATCAGCTCCCTCCCTCTCTCTCTCTCGCTCTGTCTTGCCTGCTGGGTGACAGAATGACCTCCAGAGAGCTGGGAGACACAATAAGCCTGTCTCAGACATGGAGAGAGAGAGAGAGAGAGGAGGGGGAGAGAGACACAAGGACCAATGAGGTTTCTTCATCACCACGGTTACCATAGTGATGAAAGATGCTGACTGGGTCAAACAGGAAGCATCTTTAGAAAGTAAAGGGAGGGTGAAAAGGAGAGAATGTGTGTGTATGGTATGGATCAGGATGGAGTAAGTGGGTGGGGTTTGATAGAAATGAGCATCGCTGTTGAGCAGGTGGGGATGGCAGGGCTCCACAGTTTGGACAACACAACACAACACAACACAACACAACACAACACAACACAACACAACACAACACAACACAACACAACACAACACATCCATACAAAGGCTGTGTGTTCTCTGGGGCAGTGAGGCTGAAGGATGAACACACAGACATAGAGTGGGTTGTTCTCTTTGTCGCTGGCATATTTACTTGTTCAACAGTTTAATTCAATAATGTTGTTTTAGGTCAGTGCGTACTTTCTCCTTCAGAGTTTTATGCTTTAGGACACTGAATCTAACCCGGCATTTACTACTTTCAAACTTTCAGAAAACCATTTATTACCCTTTAGTTAACCTAATAATTAATTAATTAATAAATAATCAATTAAGTTTAGACAACGATTACTTTCTGTGAATCTTTTATTGCATTAATTTTAGCGGACGATTTATTACTTTTAGTTCATGTTACCATGGAGTCCTTGGAAATGGCAAAAGTAGGAAATCAGATCTGAAACACTGTTTATTTGGTGACTGTTTGTCGGTTCGAGAGTACTCCAGGAGAAGGATGTTAACACAACTATGCACGTTATTCAGTGTGTACCTCTGTTCATGTTGTGGAGGTGTAACCGTTTGTGCAGTTTGCTTTTGTAGGCTGGTTGGTGCAAATACAGCTTCTACTGTGTTCTTTCATGTTACACCATTGGTTCTCACTATTAAGTGTTTAAAAACTGACACATTACACAGATAGTTAGCATTTTGTGACTTGCAATGTAGTTAAATTCAGATGGCGGTCCCACCATCGGTGCTCCATGCGAGGCTGGGTTGAAGGTTTATGAGCTACACATCTACAGTACATACAGTCAGACTAGTCCTGCAAAAAATCCTCAATTTTAAATCACGATTATCTCCAGCCTAGAATAAATTCAGCATTTGATGTTTAGCAGTTTTATAGAAATAACAAATAAATTTCAACACAGGATCCACTTAAAGGTTTATCTCCAGCGTTCTCTCCTGTATCTCCCGTCTCCCATGACAAACACCACCAAGAGAGAAGGCATGAGCTGAGACTAAAAGCTGTGTGAGAAGCTAAGAAGTGCCCGTTGAGCTCAGTTTACCTGCCAGAGAGAAACTGCTTCAACAATATGATGACAGTATTGTACAGGTCAAAGTGAGCGGTGGTGTTGTAGTTTGCTCGTATCTGCAGCCATGCAAGCAGCCCTGGGAGGCTGCACTGTGGTTTAGCAAAACGCCAACACCAGCATGCTAACATGGCATCAGTGATGACGTTAACATGTGGATAATTAGCAGGAAACATATCCTATGTCCAGCCTGGTCGGTTTAGTGTATTAGCCTGCTAACATTTGACAATGAGCCTTAAACACGAGGTACCAGGTACAGGTGAGGCTGACGAGTGACAGGAGCTTCAACGGTATTCTGCCATTAACCATTATTTAGTGTTGGAGTTTTTAACCTGATGGTGCCAAAGAAAAGTTACAGGAACATTTTACAGATTCAGTCCATTCAACACAAATGAGATATTTAGGTTAAAAAAACCCCATAAAAACAAAAACGACAACAACTGCCGACCCATGATTAGCCGACACTGATATTTTACAGCCACATCACAGGCCTGTCTGGAAACTTCTCAGTGGTACAGCTTTGTGTTGTGGCAGCATTTTTTCCTCGAGAGTCCAATTAATCTGTTGGACGGAGCGGACTGGAACACATTTGATTGAACAAAACAACAACTTTACTCGTGGCCTCGTACACATGCAAACACCAACATACACTTACTTGTGCAAAAGCAATGAAGGCTATCTATGCAACGGGCTTCCTTCTTTCCTGCCTGCTGTCCTCTCACTCATCCCTTTCTCCTCTTCCTTTGAGCTGCACACAGTGGGAGTGAACAGTCTACTGGATGTTGGGACGGCTGGGACAGTGTGACTCTCATGAGATGGTGCCAGTAATTATTGCTGCCAGATGAAGGAGGTGACTCAGGCACAGACAGGCCCATTCAAGAATGCTCTTCCTCTCTTGCAAAATAACTCCCTACAGAATGAGAGCTGTGCAGCGTTGGCAGTCCAGAGGAGAACTCTGAAAACTGGAATGTCAGTCAACAATGATGATACTCAGTCCAAGTAAGAGGGTAATTGAGTCTTAATTCACAAAATGGCCAACAGCCTGTACAATTTAGAGACAACTCTGGTGATATTGTTCGTACTGTAAACGACATTCTGGTAAATATATCCTGCTGACAAGTATTTACTGTGAATCGAAGCCTGATCTAATTTATTCCTCTGTGCCTTTGAGCTCTATTACTGCCCAAATACTAATATTACAGAAAACACACACAAAACTGCAGTTCCTACGTAGGCCATCTTTATGCTGGAGGCCGTCCCCTAAAGCTGAAAAGTACATTTATCAACAGAAATCTGATCACGGATAAATAAATACTGCATCACGGCTTTGGAAAATAAATTCCTTCCCTCAGATCCATCACACACAAATCTGTCAAAATACTATTTTATTGCATAAGTCTGTGTTACTTTTAGATGACGAGCCACATATTTGATATGTGCATGTGCCTAAAATAATATCCAAGTGTGAAAAACTAACAAACAAAAGGCATGCTGGGAAAACTTGTGTCCAGCTTCCACAGTGAATCAGATAAAAGGGGAGGGGTAGAAACATATCTGGACATCTGACACAAAATCATCAGCTTGTTGTGTCGCAGCAGTGCCAGCAAAAGTGACGCAGTAATAGAACAAGAGCACAAATCATCTTATTCAGATGCTCTAGTATCGCTCTCATTTTCCATTCAAACGGTTTTCTAGGTAGTAAAGACCAGAGCGCACAACGACAAGCTTGCTGCAGGACTGAGTGAATCCAATTGTGCTGAGAGGTGCAGGTTACACAAGCGCAGATCAAATTCCAGGTCATCCTCTCGGCTGCAGCACCCGCATGCCAACTAACTAAATGACCAGAGCGACATATTAGATTAAGTAGTACCAGTATGAGAAATGAACGAAGCATTGTCCTACACATGTGTGACGCTAATCAGTTGAAGTACTGAATTTCGCTGACGGAGATGCAGGCCGACACTTACGGGAGGTCCTAAAGGGTGACATCAGCACCCAATAGCTGAGTCAAAATCCTCCAATAACAATTTTTACAATCCTCAATGTTGAACGTTTTGACCACTTAAACTAACTGTCCAGGTTTGCATGAGTTGGAGTACAAAACGGTTTGGCATGTAGGTGGTGGGGTTTGAAGTCAGGGAGGCGCTCAAATGTTGCATACCATCACTGAAATGGTAAATAACAATAAATAACTGTGCACTCCAAGTGTCTTTTAAGACATGGCGTATTTCCTGTTGGTGTTGTGCTATGGGTCGATCTCACTTCGTACACTTGGCCTCCGTTGCAGGGATTCTGAGGAAATGAGGACTCGCACAAAACATTGTATGGGGCAACAAGCTGACTGCAGCTTTAAATCAATAAAAACACATACGTTTCACAAGTCATGTTAAACATTTGTTTTGAGTCTGACCCAGAAACATTTTGCTAGCTGTAGCGGGCACGTCCAGGAATACCGGCTTGTTTACATGTGACAAGGGCAGCATATCTGTCATGAAATGAACCACTTAAACCAGCAGATAAATAATGCTGACTTCTTCTCTTTTTTGTCGTTACATCAAGCCATCTGATTGTAATAAACGTTATTAAATTGTACGTGTTTATGTTCAGTGTGAGCGCCACATGCTGGCAGGTTGATTGTTTCGTACAGTGCAGAGAATTAGCTGGTACTGGCATAAAAAGAGGCATGTGAGTCAAGATTCATAAAAACTCACAGTTTCTGCAGCTTTAAAGGCTAACCCTGCTAGCATGCTACAGCTGGTGGACACGGCCTACATATCCACGAGTGTGAACGCATCGATGAGCTGTTTGATCTCAGGCGTCTCACACAACCAGTGTTAGTAATGTATGCATGCACCACTTCCCTGAATCAGGTGATCTCACAGCTGTACAAGCAAACCCAGCTTCCTCGCCATCACAGCAGTTTATGTCGTAGCTTTAGGACATTGCCAAGCAAACCCAAGACAATTTTACTGGACGCTAACATTGGCCTGACTGATTGATGACGTGCTTTCGCTCTTGACCTGCGTCTTCTTTATTGGGTGGTTATGTAACTGGACCTGACCAATCCCATTATAAGACCAGGTCAGTAAAGGTCACGGAGTTTCACCCCCAGAAGCTTCAAACAGAGAAACCATTAAAGCAGCTAATTTAAGGCACCATCCTGCTGCTGACCCAGGCCGAGTGGGAATACGTGTAAGCACATTCATGCATGTATTTGTGCGTGTGAGACAGGACCACATGCATGATGCCGGAGACCTGACCTGTTTCCTTGTGACAAGACCTAAAATAGACGTTCTGTACCTTCAACTGGGTTAGAGCTGCTTAAAGACTTTGACCTAAACACTGGTTCCTGACTAGCTCATGATTAACCTCCACCAGTTTCTGATGGCTGTATTTTAGTTGAATAGGCTTTTTTTTTTTTTTTAACCCAGACTGGAAGGAAGGGTTTAGTAAGAAATAAACTTTACCGACTGAAAACATTTAGGCAAAAAGGCGAATGTCACATTTAAAGTCAAACTGCCCTCTGCAGCTCACTGCCAGTGACTCTGTAGCACTGGTCTGTGGCTGTGAGTACACGTCATACTGTTCAATAAAACCAACAGCTCGCTGCATGTGTTCAATGTGAGGAGTCTGAAACTTCAAGGTAAACTTGAATGCATATCAGATCCATATTTTAGGCTTATTGTGCTATATTTCCAAATCAGAACCTCCAGTATGTGGTTTAAGCAGCTTGTATAAACTAAGGTGTGTGAGGCTACAGCTGTCGTTTCAAACCTTTACACCTTTTACTGTCCACCACAGATGCAGGCAGCATTTGATTTTCTGCTTCAACAGTCATTAAAAAGTTAAGTTTGAGCTTCATAACCTCAGTCAGACAGTAAAACTTACTGGACTTGGAAGTATTTATATTTGATAAGTGGATCTGATACTGGATCTAAACCCAGATATATAACATGGAAGCACTGTACCAGTATGATCAGCTGTCCTTTGTTCTGTACCAATGTGCGTTAAACAAGCAGCCCTCATCTGCAACTGTCTTTCCATATATAGAAAGCAACCAGGCAAATCCAGTTCATTGACATCTAATCAGCAGGTCTGAGCCCTTGTTCTTCACAACAATCTATCAGCGTCTTTGTCTGCTGATTAAGAGCAGCATGTGGCGGCTGAATAAGCAGTGCAGGGTCATGGTTTGAAACCAAGAGGGGAAGTGAGGCTGCTGGAACAGATTAGTTGACAGAAGTACCGGCTTAAGAGCCACAAAAGAGGACAATAAGATCATCCTTCATGATTGTCTTATCAGGGGAATAAATAGAACTGGGTAATTAGCAGGAGCATTGTTGACTGAAGAGATGAAACAGTGCCGCCTATCGGACTGCTTGGTAACGCTGCCTGATAACATTACAAGTAAAACGTAATCATTTTCTGATGCTCCCCAAAGTAGATGTTTAAACTAAATATCCTAACTGTCATAATAATTATTAATATCATAAATGACTCGCTGACTAATTGCTTGACCAGGGTCGACTGAAATCCAAACATAAGACGATATCTACGATGATGTTAGAATAAAATACAATATTTTATTGTCCATTCCTCTATATGTCCAGGACAAACAGAGGAAACACGTTTCTCTCCTACCTTGTGTTAGTGCCATACATTAAAAAAAAGGATCAAAATAAAGTAAAAAATGAACTATAAAATAAAATACATAAAAATCAACCTATGTGCACTGGTGGTAGTAGTGCAATATAGTGACAGCTTATTGAGTGACTGAAGTCTGATTGTGGCATCGTGTAACGGAGTGATTGCATGGATGTGTGTGTGTGTGTTGTGTGTGTGTGTGTGTGTGTGTGTGTGTGTGTGTGTGTGTGTTTTGGATGGGTGATGGATACTTTCTGAGCTCTCATGAACTGAGATTTTCTGACACTTCATTACCTAATCTGAAAATAATCATTAGTCGCTGAGCTACGACCTATAATCAGTGAAACACCTGAAGACTGGCAGCTTCTCGGTTTGTCTTTAAATGATCATTTACTGTTTGGGTCGGTGTTGGCTGCACAAAACAAGACCTACGAAGACATCAACTTGCAGAAACGTACTGCAGCTGCTGCCATGTGTCCTGTCTGACCGCCTGTTTGCCAACATGTCCCAGTCGCTGTAGAAACACTGTAATGCATCCTGTCCATACTGTACATGTCCTGTGTGCCCAGTATGTAGGCCAGAGGTGAGTGGGGCCTCCGCAGTGAGGAGGGGAAGCATTACAACAACACTGGTGGGATTTTGTAGGACAGCTTTGATTCCTAAAAGGTACACCTTCACATTACTTTAATACAATCTCAACACAACAGTATATAGTCCTATAATAATAATAATAATAATAAAATAATAATAATAATAATAATAATAATACTAATAAAAAGAGCAGGGTTGTGACATTTTACAGCTGCTGCCACGTGGACTGACGATGAGAGGAGCTGTGGGAGGACTATCGTGGGCTCTCTCACCACATCTTGGTGATCTCGCGCTGGTGCCTAAATGCGCATTATGGCCCCACACAGTCCACCTGAACAGGACACCTGAGTGGACCGTACCTGGTGCTGTCGCAGGGCTGGCTGCTCCACTCGGCTTCATCTGGTGGCAGCTGGTCCCTCTGCCTCCTCCTCCTCCTCCTCCTCCTCCTCCGGGGTGACAGCACCGTGTTCCCGCCGGGCCTGGACCTGGACCTGGTGCCGGTGAAAACGGCCTCCTGGCGCTCCGTCCGCAGCGCGACGACACACGCAGCTGGCCGAATAAAGCCGAACAGCGACGAGCCGGATTCATTCTTTCTCGGTACCGGGTCCAGCAGAGAGAGGGCTTGACGTTACTGGCGTTAACGACACTGAGCCATTTAATAAAGTCAGAACTCCAGAAATGTTCCCGACACGAACTGCGAACTTTCTCTCGTTGTACTTGTGAAGGTAACAGAAAGCCGGTAAAGTTACATCACATTTCTCACGGAACACCGGGTACCCAGGGTTTAGCTGAGAATGGGCTGGTCCGGAACACTTTGTCCCCGGCAGCACAATACGATAACGTCAACTGTGTACAATAAGAAGTAATAGTACTTCGCTTCTAAAGTACCTGGGAGTGTTACTGTCTTGGCACATGGACAAAAATCCACATTTAAAAATAGCCACAAACATCCGCTCCCCCTCCTGTCAGCAGTGGTTTGAGCCGCAGTGACATATGTAACGAAGAGGCGGAAACGAGCAAGAAGAGGGCGGTAACTTTCCACAAAGGGGCCAATCAGCGTTCAGTGCGCTTCTGACGTCAGCAGCCCCTTTGTTCCTGCGATGTTCTCACATTGATCACATCACTGGGAACCAGAGGTGTGAGTCAGTCTGAGCAGCGGGGCCTCCATCAGCCAATCAGCAGCGTCGGAGGGAGCAGGATCAGCTGATAATTCTTAGATTTCTATTTGTTTTTTGTTGTTTTTTTCCTGAGTGTCAGCGTCATATCTTATTGTCTTCCCCATTTTAAATCATCATAGAAGTCACATAAAAAAAACACAAGAGTACTCTGTATCTGCTTCACTGTTTTACAATCAAATTAAGGCTTTTGGCAAAAGAAAAATGTGAGGAAACAAAGCCCCATTGTAAATACTCTAAACCAGGATGTGTGTTTTGTGTTTGTTTGGGGTTTTTTTTGCAATACCGTGTTATGAAATCGCCCCTGCATGTGTGATCCCCATTATCAGAGTTAGCTGAAGTCAAACCGCTGTTACGCAACCAGATGAAGGGTCAGCAGTGACAGAATCCGAGACGGTTTCTCTGTTAATTATTCATCAGTTGGAGCAACGAAACAGTTTTTCAAGGTTGTCCGAGTTGCGCATTTCATGGTATAGCTGCACACAGTGTACATCATAACAAGGGAAAGCAGAAGAAGAAAACAGGGCGAGCGCTGAAAAGCAGAAAAGTCTGGCCCAGATCAGAGAACAACTCATTCAGACTTACAGCAGAAGCTCAGCCAATCAGTTTGCAGGTTTAGTTTGACAGCCTTGTTTTTCTGTTATCAGATTAACATCTTTGTTCTTCTTTTTTAAGTTGTCATATCCCAAATAGCAATACTGCTACTGAACAATTTGACTGCCAACAAACCAACAGTTCAGGTGCTAAGAATTAAGACTCTTTTGTAAGAGCCTATAATAGTTCCCTCTTATCTGTAAATTAGCATGTATATTCAACTTTATGAAACAAAAACAGTCTATTTCTCTCAGTGTCATGTGAACGATGTAGTGGGTGAACAGTACAAGCATCATAACCTTGTACTTAGCTACAGTACTCGAGTACATTTTGAAGCAGAGCATACATTAATGGCACTCTGACATTGATTTTTAATAGAAGCTTTCCACAAAACATGACCTAAATGTTATTTTCTGAAGGTCAGTGATCCATATTGGATTTCAGACCTTTCCTCTGCTCTTCCTAATATTTTGTTCCTCTCTGTTTATTTACCTGAGCGGTTTCGTAGTCTGTCTGCTCATGTCTCCACATCAACATGTTATCTAATCTGTGATCCTCACGGTGCTCTGGACAGTTTCACAACACTCATGAACCCAAACTGAAAGCCTACATGAAAACACAGAGGCAGAGGTACAAGGCTGAACAGCTTCTGGTTGTTCTATTTAGTTAATGCTTTTGTCAAAATGTTTTACAATCCCAGTCTGTACATTTTGGCACACTGACTGAATCAAAGAATTCTACTTTATTATTACAGTTTTCTGCTGTGTGATACGATAGTGAATGAACTATGACGTAACACCTGTGGACGGATGTAGTAACAGAAAAGTGTAAAGAGAGAAAAATGTGTTTCAACTTTTACATTCTTTTTCTTGGACAACTTCAGCACGTTTTATGAACAGCTGCTGCTCTGTGCTCTGACTCACACTAAACCCTTTCGGCTGAGTTTAAGATGTGACTATGGAAGGTCAATAAAACCCATCTTCATTATTGTTGGTCTTGCGTTATTACTGATGGCTCCTCTAATCGCCAACCAGATGGCGATTGGTGCTGCATGTTGTTGTTGCTGTTGCTTGTTTCCCTCTGCATTTGTTATGTGTATTTAACATATTTAGAGTTGTCCAAATATAAGTACTGTACATACTTCAACAGTATTATTGATTTTACTTCTGATTTCTTCGCCCAGCACCATGAGTGTGTAACCATCAGGGATCCTGGTTCTCTCTCTGTGCTCCCATCTGCTGGTCATTTCGTAGCATTGCATGTTTGCGCTGCAGCATGAGTCAAGCTGCATGAAGCTTCTTCAGATAATTATTTGACTATAGTTTGCTGCGACTGCTTGTCTGCAGTAAAAACTCAACATGTGCAGATTTAGTGACTTGGGGCCAATGCAAACTCAGTCATTAGGCAATTAAAGTCATTCTCTTGACAAGACACTCATATTAAAGCATCTACAGTATACTGCTTGAGAGTTTCATCATATTTGACTTTGCTGATCAAATGTTTTTTGTGTGACTCTGTATGCAAATCTGCAAAGTAGCTGCTGGCTGTCAGATGAATGCAGAGGAGGGAGATTATGGATGTGGAAAAGTACAACAACGCTTGAGTAAATGCGTGCATGTTATCCACTCTGTCTCTATGAGACCACAAAATCTGCCTGATTTTGCTTTCTTCATCATCTCTGGGACCTTTAATCATGTGACAGTGGACATGCTTTCACTCAGTCTGCAGACTGCCCTCCCAGATGAGACAGAACCTTGGACCTGCTGTACAGTCACATTAAAGAGGCCTACAGCTCCATTGCTCTCTTTTATTAGCCTCTATTGGCCAGTGCCATTTTCTAGATCACATGAAGTCCCCAGGTGGTGCTAGTCCTGAGTAGAGCTTTATTTTTTTATACATATTTAAAGGAAGCACAGAGGCTCAGCCATGCAGGCCCCATAGACTTTGCCTGAGGGTGAAGTCTTCCCCCTGACGGCTTAACATACAACAAAGAGGGCTCAAACTCATGTTTCATAGCAATGAGATGTAATTAACCCTATTGTGGGGCCTCATTTATCATCAGTGCATATAAAAGTTTCTAAATTATGTTGTGCGCATGAAATTTGCAGTGTGTATAAGTACCAAAAAAATCCCTATTTATCAAACATGTGTACGGGAGTTGTACACACATCAGTGTTGATAAATCCCACTTGTTCTTAACCTCCATGCTCGTGGACGTTGCCTTCAGGAACGCCTCCAAATCACCATATAGGGCAACAACACGCCTCTTTATAAAGCAAGTGAAGATTTATTTTTTCCTCACCTGTCGTCATCATTGTGGCAAAAAGGACGACAAAGAGGAACTTTTATGAAACTGAGATCGAGGTACGTGTCAGCGAGGTTGAAGCAAACCAGAAAATATTGTTTGGTGCATTAATGTTGGGATGAGCAGCGAAAGAAAAAATACTGCAGACAAGAAAACCACCGCAGTTATTTCTGTTGGTCAGAGGAGAGATCGCCAGCAAAAAATTTAAAAAGAGGTTTGATGTTAAGCTCAGCGCCAAAAAACGCATCACAGCCCATAAAAGAGAAATGACTGAAACTGAAGGAGGACGAGTTCATACCAACGTCCACCCAGTGGATAACCCTGATCACTGCAGATGAGATGTTTAATAACCAGACTTAGTCCAGCTGAAACATCTCCACTCTGTGACACTCACCAATAAGCCAGCCGTCCTCAGCAGCTTCTGCTTGGAGACCCACAGAACTGTTCTGCTCAATGAATGAGTCGTGTTCCTCCAGGCCGCCGGCAACAACGTTGGATAGCCACAAATGTGCAGCGCAGATTATCTGGACGTTGATTGAATGAAACCCTTTTCTATTTATAAAATGAAGCTCGTTTAGTGATGCTGTTTTGATTGTGATGTGGGTGCAGTCTGTGGCTCCACTTATGTTTGGGAATCCAGCGACGGCGTTAAGTCCCCGTTTGATTTGGGCTCGTTGGTGATGGCTGTAAGGGAACTGGATGTAGGCTGGGACCAGGGGACTTATGGCATCCAACACTGCCGGCTTGATCCTGCTCAGTGGTGGCTGGAAACGCCGCATATGTCTCCAACCTCACGCTGGAATGTGCCAGTTGTCAAAATCCTGAATGGGGTTAATGAGCGTTCAAGTTCAGTCAGAAAGGTCTACAGTTCCCCAGTTTTCACATAATGTAGTGATGCATATTGTGGAGGATGAGAAATGTCATTGAAGCTCATAATAAGAGTCACTGATGCACTGCAGGCCTGTATGTACGCAGGAGTTCACTGTCCAAACAAAAGCTACGTGTTTTGTTGGTTCATTTTCCAATGCAAGCAAGTGACAAAGAACAAAGGATCCTGGCTCCAGCTGCCTCTCTTAATTGGGTAAAAAAAAAAAACATTGGTTCCCCAGTTCATGCTGGTCCTATACCTGCCTCCGTACTCGTATAAAAGCGCACACAGCAGTCCTCTGCTCTTACAAGACAATTAAAATGCACTAAACACACAGGAAGGAAACTAACCTAAATAAATAACCAAATGAAAATACTCAAAATGAAATGAAATGAAAAATGAAAAAATACTGCATTCATCCCATAAGGGAAATTCAATTAATAAAAAAAATAAGCAAGCATCTCAAACAACGAAACACTCAAAGTCGAATTATTAAACAACCAAAAAATGAATGGCTTCTACATATACTGTGCAGAATATCTGAAAAAAACGTAATAAATAACGAGGATCAGCCTGGATCCAGCAGTTAAACAGAATAATACTAATTCACTTATGAGCTTTAATGGTGCTTTCAGTTTTCAAGTTTTTGGCAAACAGAAGTGTTACTGAGCAAAGTGAAGGACTCCCACATGCAACTGTATGAAGAGCTGGAACGTGAATCTTCAAGTTATTTTCTTGAAAAGCAAACATTTCATAGTGAT